CACGCGGGGTGGGAGGAGCAGAGGAGCCCCCCAGGCAGGGTGGCTCCATAAAAAAACCAAACAGTCACTGGGATGTGGAGAGGGAACTGGGCTCTTGGGGCCACACCAGTGAGGAGGACACGGCGTAACTCACACACAGATTTCTACAGGGATGCAGGGACTGGCCAGGACACCCCCCTCCCCTTGACCTCCTCCACCCACCCTGACCCCACCAGAGATGGGATCACCAGCTCCATTCTCAGGGTCTTGGGGCTGGAGGGACGTTCCCAGGGGCTGGTTCCTTGGTAGGAAGGAGAGGAGACATGCACACGGGTCCTGCCCTGCTTCCTCAGGCAGGGAAGGGAGGAGAGGAGGAGGAGGAGGATGAGGAGGACAGGCTGCACCTTAGTTCTTCAGGATGGTTTCGTAGGCTTGGTAGATGTACTGGGACACCTCTGGCGCTCGGCATTTCAGGGACAACTGTGGGGAGAGAAGAGGAGAGAGGGGGTGGTCATGGCACCTGGTCCCACACCAATGAGCCACCAGCCCCAAAGCACAGAGCCCTGCATGCTGCAGCACCCCCCCAACCATGGGGCAGGGGGTGACCTCAGCTCCTTATTTCAGCTGAATAAAATGATATTAAAAGGCATCGAGTCCCCTAAGTGTTCTCCCCGGGTTGAGGACATGCAGCGCAGGCAGGGAGGGCAGGGGCACAGGCAGAGGCACAAGCACACTTGGTCTCTGGGGGTTTGAGTCACCACCCGTAGCTCCAGGGTGAGCAGTTTCCCCCCCAAGGCAATTTCCTCTCCCAGGTGGCACGAGATCCCTTCAGTTATTTGATTAAAGATTAAATTTTAAATGACTCTGAGCTCAAGGAGCTGCTCAGCCCGCAGGTGAGTGGGGAGGGCTCAGCACTCAGCTGAGTGGGGAATCCTCCAGGATAAGGATTTACAGTGATCCTCATCCTAAATGAGCCCGGGAGGGTGGTGGGAACACCCTGAGCCTCCAAAATGTTCACCTCCACTCAGCCCTGCCAGGAGGGACAGAGGCACCAAGGGACAGGCAGGTAAAACCCTTTCAGGGGAGAAAGAACCAGGCAGCAGCCAGAGACAGCCCAAAGCTGGGGTAAAAACCAGTCTGCTAACCTCCAAATCCTGCAAGAGCGGGCAGGGCGGCGAGGGCAGGCAGCAGCAGAGATGGAGATAGACAGAGAGGTGAGTCCAGGCCCCACAGCTCACCCCAACCCAGAGAAAACCAGCGGGGAGGACAGTGGGGATGGGGAAAGCGGGGTACGGGGACGGCCCAGGCCTGGCACGAGGACAGAGCTCTGCTCTGAGGCTGGTGGCAGCTGCCCAGCGCCACAGGCAGAGCTGGGTGTACCCCAGGGGGTGGGCTTGGGGGGTTTTGATTTTAAGGGAGAAGTGTTGGTGGGCTGGGACCTCTCTATGTCCTTTA